TCCATTGCTTGGGCTGTGATTGGCTGCTAGTACATGAGTGGAGGTATTTCTGTATAAATACCAGCTTGATTCATCAGTTAGTTTGCAGGGATTGTATTGAGTTACAACCTGCTTTATTTTTGTCTGCCAGCTGGACGCTAGCTGGGACCCTTACGCCGGTAAGTGCGGTTTATTATTGTTATTCTACAAGTTTCACTTTTATGTAATATATATATATATATATATATATATATATATATATATATATATAATTAATTTTTTTTTGTTAGAAAGATTTTGTACAAAAACTTATTGTATACAATAAATTGAGACTGGAAAAAGAGGCCCCTAACATTTAATATAGCGATATCTATGTTTAATGCATCAAGTTTTACAGAGAATAATTAAAACTTTGTTACTTACAACTGGATTTTCAATGTTTTTTTTTCTTAGAAAAATAATTTGCTGTTTTCCTTTTTTTAAACATTTTAATTTAACCGCTTTTCAAAAATGTTTTTAACTGTTTCTATCTCCACGTGTTGAAACTTCTTGTTTTTTTACCTATGAAAAAAATGAAAATCAACTGGCGTACCTCGCTATATATGTGGTTTATCGTAAAGCGACTATGGCAGAATCTATTTATGCAAGGAATTAAGTATTGGTTTGAACTTGTTGTTTCCTTATTAATTCGCCTTTGTTCAGTGGTTCTTTAGTCGCATTGGTAGAATGGGAAGAGATTAATATTTGGCAGATTTTGTCCTCCGCATTCTTCTATATGTTGGCGAAGGGGTATTTTCCTGGTGTGGGTTTCCCTAATTTGTTGGTGATGAACTGTCATCTTTGCCGGAGTGACTTGCCTGTTTGACCAATGTAATATTCATGGCAACCTTTGCATGTAATTATTTATGTTTTGGCTTTGGTTCAATCTGAGGTTATTTATGTAATTCCGATTTTGTGGTCTGTTTGCTTCAAACTTGTAGTTTCTATTTGTTGCTTTGATGTTACATGTATTTTCTATATGGCTGTTTCTTATGTAGTGGTATTGGTTTTGTCCAGAATTGTTTATCTCCCCTTGTCGCTCAATTTATATGTTGAAATTATGGTGGATGTCTTGAAGAATTTCTCATTTCTCTTTTGTCAAGCTTTTGGGCTGGGTTTTGTTTAGTGTGTGATTTCCTTTTATGACTTAAGAATTGGGATAGCGTGCTGTCAGCGTGTTTTTCCATATCGATGTTTGTTACACAATACAGGATGATACCTTCTATGAAGAAACCAGAGAATGACCAGCCTCACAAAGTGATGAAAACTGTAATACTTATATGGAGTCAGTAGATGTTGTGAACTTATATAGCAACATCCCACATAACTACGGAATAGAGACAATAAAATGCTGGCTAGAAACGTTTCCCCATGAGCTACCAAATCGTATCAAAAGAAATTTCCTCATAGAAAACTTAGAATTCATCTTAAAAAAAAACAAAAACCAAAAACAATTATTTCATGTTCAACGAAACCCCCTATCGACAAACATCCGGGACATCCATGGAGAAAAAGGGTGCACCAACATATGAAAACCTATTCAAGGGATAGCATGAACTTAAAATCTATGACAGAACCTTGGAAATCTATGGAAGTGGCTTCAGTGTCAAAATAAAAGAACATTGAAAAATATATATAGATGGCTGTTTCATTCTGTGGAATGAAAGTCTGGATAAACTAAAGACATTACAAACATACATTAATATTATAAATACTAGCGTCCAATTTACTATGGTGTACAGCAACAAAAAAATCTTTCCTTTTTTGACATATTAATAACAAAAACAAACACTAAACTAGAAACCGACATATACTTTAAACTGACTCACTCTTAACAATATCTTCTTTTTAAATCTTCTCACCCGAAACACACGGGTACCGACATCCCACTCAACCTAACCAAGCGGATATGTACAATAGTCTCAAACACAACTACAAGAGACTACAGAGTTGAAGAGATGAAAAAAAGCACTCATCAAGAGAAAATACTCACAAAGTTTGGTCGACAATACTATTGAAAAAGCAAAACAAATTAACATCCACACATTTCGAGAAACAAAAAGAAAAATAAGGTCATTCCTTATATCTCAGCTTTCAGCCCAAAGAACACAGAAATCTACACACACATACATCTATTTTTTAAAATTTTAAATTAATAAAAGGATAGAAAGAAGAAAAAAAGTGGAAAACAGAGGAACAAACTGCAAATAAGGGAAAAGGCATTTAAGAAGGAGACAGAAAAAAAGAAAAGGAAAAACCAACGTATTGAGGGGCAAAGGCAGACAGAACATATACAAATCCATACGAAAGATGCATATATCTTATTCAAAGACCATAAACTTAATTTCTCGAATAATATCTAGATTCACCAATCCCACTAAATCTGAGCTAGGTATAATTTCTAAAAATATAATTAAAAAAATACTAACAAACTCTTCATTTCAACAGATCAGAAAGGTGACAGGTAACACCTGTCATCTTACTGATCTATCTATCTATCTATCTATCTATCTATCTATCTATCTATCTATCTATCTGGATAGATAGATAGATATCCAAATGAAAGAAAGAACAGATGGAGTAAAAATCCACAGTACGTAGCATTTATTTTTTTTAAAAAGGTGCTCAATGCAATGTAGTGCAAAATATAATATTTTTATTATAATAAATTAGAATGAAAACATTTGACACTGCTACAGACAACTTTCATGTTCCAGTACTAAGATTGTACTTCCTTAGGCGATGGTAGATAAATAATGATAAAAATAATTTATTAGGGAAATTTAAAAACAAATCTTTACCTCTTTTCGTAAGTTAATATACAGCTGTAGGTTTCGTAAATGTCTATATAGTTATGTCCCTACATCAATTTAACTGATGAAGTACAATATTAGTAATGAAATATGAAAGTTTTTGTGTAGCAATATAAAATATTTTATTGCAATTTATTAGAATGAAAATAATCTATCTATCTATCTATCTATCTATCTATCTATCTATATACATATATATATATATATATATATATGTGTGTGTGTGTGTGTGTGTGTGTGTGTGTGTGTGTGTGTGTGTGTGTGTGTTTTGAACAATAAAAAATATTGATAAATTTGAAAAAAAATTCAGGCATCCTGGGTTGTATATTAATATTATTTTTGTCTTATTATTTCAATTAGGTTCCTCGATTGGTTTCGGCCAGCATGGCCATCATCAGGAGGAAAAAATCTTGTTTGTTAGTAGTAGTTAATTACAGGAATAAATGATTTTCTGAAGAAAATGAGATTTATCTGTAGTTTTCATTTCTTTTGTTCTTTTATCGTTCATTTTGGTTAGACCTTGTTTTGGTCAAACAGCTTCTTTTCAGTTGTTTTTTAAGACAGTGGCTGGATAGATTCATGTTACTGTGAATTCCCTTGGTCATTTTGACAATTTCATTGGTTCCTGGGAAGGAGACTTGTCTGTGTTAAGTGAATGTTATCATTTAGGTCTTCGGGAGTGTGTATGATGCTTATAAGTGTATATATCACTATGGGTTTGTATATAATTTTGAGACCTCAATACCTCCGCAAGTATATCTGTCTTTTGTGGGTGAGTAATATATATATATATATATATATATATATATATATATATGTATCTCTCTCTCATCTATATATATATATATATATATATATATATATATATATATATATATATAGAGAGAGAGAGATAGATAGTTATAGATAGATAGATATGCATCTCTCTCTCTCTCTCTCTCTCTCTCTATATATATATATATATATATATATATACCCTACACGGGTAACTGGGTTGTACGCCACTAACGTTTACTATTAGTGGTCCTCTGTAGGACCGCTGGCGTGCTCCTGCCAGCATTGTTACCACTGTCTGACCGCTATAGGCCCACCGGTGTCGGACACCAAATGAGCGCTGTTATTGCCATCGTCCGCCGATCAGCTGGCCACTAGCGTCTTGGGTGTAGTACATATATATATATATATATATATATATATATATATATATATATATATATATATATATATTCTGACCGATAATTGTAATCAGTACTCTTTAATTAAAAAACAGACCATATACTTAAATAAATTATATCTATCAAAATAACGTTTAATCGAAAAAAAAAATCTCTCTCTCTCTCCATTTTCTGAGAAATAACTTAGCATAGCTGCATAATAAAGTAAAAGTTGTCTTTGCCGATGCTGATGAAATACAAATGTACCTGATTCGACATCTACAACAGGGATTGTCCACCTACAGATAGATGTGAGGACTTGGAAAACGAGCAGCCCGGTTATAATACATACAGTGTATTTGTATTTGTGCATCTATTTCAGTTATGAAGTTTCCTGTCCTTCTGGTAGACACAAAAGTTAAGAAACGTCATTTACGTTGTAATCACCCTTAAAGGCAATCATTACTTTGAAATGTCTAGATCAAAAATTGCTAGTTCTCTCGCGAACAGCGCCTATTTTCCTTGATTCGAATTGTGCCGTAGATGCCATCTTCAAAGGATTGCATAAACATTTTTTTATTCATTTTCTAGAAGCCGTTTCACAAGCGGATGTTGTTACGTTGCAAGAAAATTCACGACTTGCTTTGAAACTACAGCAGAAAATTTAAAAAAAAAGTAAAGAAGTTGTGGAATATTTTTCATCATCAAGGATTGAATTTTCAGATCGCAAGGGATTTAGGAAATTTTCTAAAGCGAAGGAATTGCAGGATTTTTCGAGACGTTAATCGATCGTCTTTTACTCCCTGCTGTTTCTTCACATCAGCTGCGCATGCGAATTCATCGACAAGAGGAAGTGTAAAAGAACGAGTGATAATTGGCTAAACAGATTAGCAGAGAGGGAATTCTATGATCGAAAAACTTTCGTAAGAGCTAAAAAGGAGAAAGATAGTTATGAAAAAGAATGCGGAGGTTAAAATGTCACTGTTAATAGAAAAAATATTAAAAAGGAAACGAATTAAGTAATTGTAAAAAAAAAGGAAAGAAAAACGCTAAAAATATTATATAAATCAAAAATTAAAAAAAAAGTAAACGACATATATAATGAAAAAAAGAAAAATGAAAGATGTAAAGAAAGAAAGTAATGAAGTGAAAAAATGGAAGATGTATTGAAAGAAAGTAATGGAATGAAAAAATGGAAGATGTATTGAAAGAAAGATGTAATTAAGAATTGAAAAATGTTAATGAAAGAAATGCAATGCAGAAATGAAAGGTAAAATGAAGAAATGAAAAATGTAATAAGATAAATGAAAATGTAATAAAAATGTAATGATGAATTGAAAAATGTAACAAATGAGAGATGTAATGAAGAAATGAAAAAATATAATGAAAGAAATGTAATGATAAATGAAAAATGGAATGAAAAATGTAATGAAGAAATGAAAAATAATGAGAAAATGTAATGATAAAATAAAAATGTAACGAATGAAAGATGGAATGAAGAAATGAAAAACAACGAAAGAAATGTAATGATAAACGAAAAATGGAATGAAAGAAATGTAATGAAGAAATGAAAAATGTAATGAAAGATGTAATGATAAATGAAAAATTGAATGAAAGAAATGTAATGAAGAAATGAAAAATGTAATGAAAGATGTAATGATAAATGAAAAATGGAATGAAAAAATGAAGAAATGAAAAATGTAATGAAAGATGTAATGATAAATGAAAAATTGAATGAAAGAAATGTAATGAAGAAATGAAAAATGTAATGAAACATGTAATGAAAAAATTAAATATGTAATGAAAGATATAATGAAGAAATAAAAAATGTAATGAAAGATGTAATGAAGAAATGAAAAATAATGAGAAAATGTAATGATAAAATAAAAAATGTAACGACTGAAAGATGTAATGAACAAATGTAATGAACAAATGAAATGTAATGACGTTAAGGAAAGAAACGTAATGAAAAAAGTGAAAGAAATGCAAATAAAAAAATGAAAGATGTAATGGAATAAATGTTATGATGAAATGAAAAATCTCATGGATGAATAATGAAATTAAAGTTGTTATGAAGAAATTAAAATTTTAATAAACGAAATGTAATGAAAGAAATGTAATGAAGATTTTAAAAAAGTAATCATGAAGTGAAAAATGCAATGAAAGATATATGAAAGGAAAAATGTAATGAATGAAAGATGTAATGAAAAAAATTAAAATGTAATGAATGAAAGAAATGTAATGAAGGAAATGTTATGAAATAAATGTAACGAAGAAATGAAAGATCTAATGAAAAAATGTATTGAAAAAATGAAAGACGTAATGAAAGAAATATAATAGAGAAATGAAAAATCTAATGAAAGAAATGAAAAATGTAATGAATGAAAGAAATATAATGACGTGAAAGAAATGTAATGAAAGAGATTGACTGACGAAATGCAAAAAGGAAAGAGAAATGAAAAGTCTAATGAAAGAGAAATGTAATGAAAGAGATTGACTGACGAAATGCAAAAAGGAAAGAGAAATGAAAAGTCTAATGAAAGAGAAATGTAATGAAAGAGATTGACTGACGAAATGCAAAAAGGAAAGAGAAATGAAAACTCTAATGAAAGAGAAATGTAATGAAAGAGATTGACTGACGAAATGCAAAAAGGAAAGAGAAATGAAAACTCTAATGAAAGAGAAATGTAATGAAAGAGATTGACTGACGAAATGCAAAAAGGAAAGAGAAATGAAAAGTCTAATGAAAGAGAAATGTAATGAAAGAGATTGACTGACGAAATGCAAAAAGGAAAGAGAAATGAAAACTCTAATGAAAGAGAAATGTAATGAAAGAGATTGACTGACGAAATGCAAAAAGGAAAGAGAAATGAAAACTCTAATGAAAGAGAAATGTAATGAAAGAAAAGAAGGAAGGAAGGAATCGAAAAACGGAAAATTTTCAACCTAAATGTCGAAATACACAAATGAATGAAAACGAACAAAACACAAAAAAAGCAAAGTGAGATGAAAAGAATTTTTCTTCGTTTAAATTTAGAAAAGAATGATTCTTTTTTGAAGTGACGCAAAAGATAGAAATTAAAACAAAAACACCTGCTATTTGAATATACAATTAATTTAAAGCCTGATTCTTTGAATGTCGGGAAAAAAACCCCTATGTAATCTGTTTATTTCAAACTACGGAAAGGGGCTGTAGACCTAAATTTTCTTCTTATTTCCGTCATTAAATTCCAGTTGCAATCCAAACACAACTGATATCTCTTAGCTGACATTTGAATAAAGCGAATATATTTTATTTAGACAATGTCAACAGTTCGTGAATAATACAATGAGTGGATAAATAAATAGAAAAAATAGTTATCTCACCAAATGATTTATTCTCCCATCAGTCTCAGTTTGTTCGTAATCATGACTTCCCCATATCTGCTGTGTTTCTGACAGTCTTTCTTTTATAAATATTAATATTTAGTAACATCCAGTATTAATTATAAAAAAAGCCAATAGTAATTACAAGTCTTTACCTAATAACATAATTGTTATGGGACCTTACCCATAATAACATAATGAACTATTCCATACGTAATAAATACTGCGCCTCAAGAGGAAGCAGAGAGTTCAGTCCGAAGTCGGGCGACCGGCGGACCGGGTGATCGGTTGAACTCTCTGCCTTCGGGCGGGGAGGAACACGAATGAGGCTACGCCGAAGGGCGGAGTCTCTTTCGGGGAGGTTATCCGAACTTGAACCCGTTTATATGGGTTCAAAGGGCATATTTTTGGCCGAGCCGACGGGCTCGGAGATCCCACGGGCTCGGAGATCCCATGGGCTCGGAGATCCCACGGGCTCGGAGATCCTATGGGCTCGGAGATCCCATAGGCTCGGAGATCCCACGGGCTCGGAGATCCCACGTTAAACCAGCCTTGTGCCACATGATGTCCTCGTGGGGTGGGGGGTGACTAAATACTGTTCAACCTGAAGTCGGGTGACCAGCTGACCGGTTGATCGGTTGAACTCTATGCCTTCGGGCGGGGAGGAACCCGAACGAGGCTACGCCGAAGGGCGGAGTCTTTTTCGGGGAGGTAAACCGACCCTGAACCCGTTTATACGGGTTCAAAGGGCATATTTTTGGCCGAGCCCACGGGTTCGAAGATCCCACGTGAAACCGGCCTTGTGCCACATGATGCCCTCGTGGTGGGGGGTGACTAAATACTGTTCAGTCTAAAGTCTGGAGTGAAGTCCGTCAGGAGTCTGTCAGTCAGTCAGAGCGAGCGAGTCAGTCAGTCGAGTCAGAGGCATTCCGAAACAGAGTCGCGTTCAGACAATTACTACAAGACATTGGAATAGTGATACTGGTCGAGACTACATTGTTCTCCCTACTAAACCTGATTGTTCATACTAACACTTTCTACCTCTCTGTATATATTCCTGTTTATAATATATCTGTGTTATTCCATATATGTGTTCGAGTTCTTCTTTATTGGTTCTACCTTGGACTATCACCGTGGTACAAGGAACCGGACTATAACAGTGGCGACGAGGAAACCAACTCTCTACGCGGAGCACACACTTTTTTTTTTTTTTTTTGCTATCCGTCGCACATAACAATAATTAACGCCAACGATTTCATCTGCGGACTGTGGGCTTTAATGAATTAGGTTTTCTTTACTGCTCTTGTCTCTCGCTACATCCCCTCGTCTTGACTATGTTTCTCCTTCGTTATATACCTTAATTATATGCATTTTTTTTGCTTCGTATTATCCTTGATAACTTGCTTTTTACACATATGTTCAGGTATACTCAGCATCCTTCTGTAGAACCACTCTTCTGTTGCCTGAAGTCTCTTCACTCACAACCGTACTGGAAGATTGATATTACACGGCAGTTCATCAGTCTTTTCTTTGTCCTAATGAAATTTTCCTTCTTTTTTTTTTCGTAATACTTTACTTAGATTTTAGAAGGCATCATTATTGGAAATTAATTTAGGAACCACGAATACAATGTTTTTCGGGTTCACATTCTAGCCTATTTTTCCAATCCTCACTACAACCTGTATTCATTACTTTCAAAACCAGCCCCCAAAGACGTATGATATATGAATGAAAGAGGAGGCAGTAGAAAGTGAGGATTAAGAGGATAAAAAATGATTGAGTCCTGACAACCACGCAGGAGTAGTATTTGAGTAGAATTTAAATATTGTGATAGAAGGAAATGAGGATGGGTTTACTCTGTGGAAGTGGCACGGCGAGTCCTATCTGTAAAGATCTGAACTGGTGAAACCAAAGAATGATGTTGGAATTTAATTTGAGAACAATATTTTACAAGTTCACATTCTCGCTATTTTTTCTATCCTCACTCCAACATCTTTTTACTTTCAAAACCGGCTCCCAAAGCCTTGATTCTTATCAGAAATAAGAATATATTTTCTGAATAACGAGAGAGCTGGAAAATATAAAAAGGAATTCCACCACCATTATTCTTTCGATGGTGCCATAAAGTCTGGGGGAAAACTCATACCTTGTTCACTTCAACTCTTTCATATGAGAAAACCGAGACAAATTTCCCGCTATTCCAATACGCGTTCGAATTTCCGTGTCACATTTTCTGTTCTATGTTGAACCACTTCTCAGACGGGCTGATAACAAATTAAGCAAACATTTCATGGCGTATCTCGTGGCAAAAATAATGCCGGCGTGTTTAGTCGGGGATCGGGACAGAATTCTCATGTCAACCCTATAAAGATAAATTCGTCGTCCCTCCATATTTCTTCCTGCATTAGAAAGAGTGAGTGGGCATTGAAATGTCCAACAAACAGATTTGAAAAAGGTTACAATAAGAACAAAAAATAAAAAATAAACAGGGCAAAAAGTAATATAAAGCAAGCAAACAATATATTCATATTATTTACATTATTCGGACTATTATCCTCATCTCATTTCCCTCTGAAAGTTCTCCACTGCCTTAACCGGCTATTGAACTATATTCTTTGGGTCCTGCCACTGGATTGAAACTAACGCCTTTATCCACTGTGCCATGTGTCCTGGAGGACATCTGTATATGAATTTCTGGCTATTATAAACCTAATGTCTTCAGAAACCATTTTACCAGGGCTCATATTGCAATTTTTGCTGTTATTGCTTTTCTCTGGCACTCTTTATTACTGGTTCCCATATAGTATTCATGTCTATGCTTGGTCGGCTCAGGAGATTTTTGTGGCCTAGCATATGTGCTGATTCTTTAAGTTTACGAATTTTCCAATGGTGTTCTTTGTCAATGATCTCAACCTGATCCCACAGAGGGATCACTTGATAAGACACAGAGTGTGTTGAAACAAAATGGCTATTTTTGTAGTGATTTTATAACATATTTATGTTATAATTTTTTTTATAAAAAATAATTATATCTGCTCTACTTTGTATTGAGCACTCTTTTAAGAATAGTAATTGTTGGTTATTGGAATTCATTCCGTATATACCAATTATATACTTAGATATAATAATATATATGTTTTTATATGCTAAAAAGTGCAAAAAAGGAATTAAAAAACAATTTTAAGAACATTAGGTTAAATATAACGAAATTGGCAGAGGAATTTGTCCAAAATAGAAATATATATATATATATATATATATATGTGTGTATATGTGTGTGTGTGTGTGTGTGTGTGTGTGTGTGTGTGTGTGTGTGTGTGTGTGTATTATATATGTATTATGCAAATGTAAAAGAACGAAAAGTATGTAAATTCAAACGTTGATACCATTAATTTAAAAAAGGGCTCTCTA